GAGAGAGAGAGAGAGAGAGAGAGAGAGAGAGAGAGAGAGAGAGACCCCAAACTAACTAACTTCACCGCCCCCCAAAACAACCACAACGAGGACGATCAAGTGTAGTATCTATTCCGATCAGTTTGATATTTGAACCATGGACCATCGGGAGTGCGCGCGCACAGCAGAGCGACACACACACACACACACACACACACACACACACACACAGAGAGAGAGAGAGAGAGAGAGAGAGAGAGAGAGAGAGAGAGAGAGAGACACCCCAACCTAACTAACTACCATGCCCCCCAAAATGACGACGACGACGATCAATTGTAGTATCTGTTCCGATCAGTTTGATATCTTACCCGTGGACCATCGGGAGTTCTTTCAGAAAATAAAAATTACGGAAAAACGGCGCGCGGAAGTGCACGCTCACCACACACACACACACACAGAAATTGAGAGAGAGAGAGAGAGAGAGAGAGAGTCCAAACTAACTAACTACCCTTCCCCCAAAAACGACGACGACGATGACGATCAAGTGCAGTATCTCTTCCGATCCATTTGAAAAACGGCGCGCGCACGTGCGTGCGCACAAGAGAGAGAGAGAGAGAGAGAGACCCCAAACTAGCTAATTGCCCTGGCCCCCAAAACGATGAAACGATCAAGTGTAGTATTTGTTGCGATCCGTTTGAAAATCGACGCGGGCACATTCGCGCACACAAGAGAGAGAGAGAGAGAGAGAGAGAGAGAGAGAGAGAGAGAGAAACCCCAAACTAACTATCCCGCCCCCCAAAAGGGCGACGACGATGACGATCAAGTGTAGTATCTATTCCAGGAGATCTTTATTAACAGCGTGCAGCAGAGCGCGCGCACGCACAAGGCAGCAGAGCGGAAAAATCGGGAGATCTTTATTAATAAACAAAAAAAAAAACCGGAAAAACAGCGTGCAGCAGAGCACGCCCGTGCGCGCGCGCGCGCGCGCGCGAGAGAGAGAGAGAGAGAGAGACGCCAAAGTAACTATCCCGCTGCCGAGCTCATCGGTCTGGCACCACACAGGGCAGCGCGGGACCCTCCCAGCCGCGTCACGGAGGAGTTGGTTTAAATCCTTCGTCGCAATATACTTGGAGCTTCCGCAAGCCGCTCCGGCCGAGTGCGCCAGCCATACCTCCTGCGAGCCCCTATGACAGGATAGGGCCTACGCGAGGCACGACTTACCTCCACCTTACGGGAGTTGTTACCTCCCTTCGGTGGGCGTATCCCCGCCGAGCTACCAGCCCACAGTATGAAAGCTAACCAGTTGCAATCGCAGAGGTGGACCAGCCGAGGGCGTTTCTTGTTCGTTGTAGCATAGGGGGTACGCGCGGTAATACGCCTCTATCGGACCCGCACGCGAACCGACGCCTTGGGGGGGCTGAAGTCCCAAGCGCGACCCGTCGTCGGTCGACTAGGACGTATCCCACTCGCCAAATAAACAACACACACACACACACTATGTGAAACAATATAGAACAATCGACGCGACAACACTCCTAGTCCCTTCAGTGTCTATCCCATAACTTTTCGCCGCGGAAGATCGAGTAAGCGGCACGCGCGAGGTTAGTATAAAAATCACGCGGTCGTTGACCCCCATCATATCGACTGTCAATGCAAATGTACGCAAGCGGTCGCAAGCATGGAATATTATGTAGCACCCATAATCATGGGGTCCTGGATAATAATCGAGGGTCACCTTCGACACTCAAGTGTCGGCTGACACGCGCCTCGAGGGGGTAACCTCTCGGCACTAGACAACCGCCATGTGCGGTTGAAGACCACACACCCTCTTCTGCACCCTGTGCAGAGTGGGTGGTACACAGGTCCATACCTGTGGTGGCAGTCGTTTCTTACTGCCCTCGACATGAGCCCCACTCCAGGCCTAGACAGAAGTCAAGGGGTTTGACTTTCACGGCTGCCACAGACTACAATCGTCCAACTATAAAATCCAAAAAAAGCAAAAAAATAGGCCGAAGGTCCCTCTACCGCAAAAAAATTCATAACCTCGGGTACCTTTTTCGGTTGGTACCAGCAACCTATAATAATCCCAAACATTCGCGCATACGTGCGAGTCCATTAATCCCATAACCTTTAGACACTAGGACGGTGAAACGTCGCGAGCAGGGGTTTGACATAAAGTCGCGCGGCCTCAAGCCAGTCCCATACCAACCGACGATGCTAGTCATACGCGAAAATTGTGGCTTCGAACTCGCGATATTGAATGGATGAAGGAATATATCGTGAGGGGTTACCCATCACGATATTGAACGGCTGAAGGACATGCTATGCAGCCCTGGCGACATTTCTGCCCTCAGGGTTGGGTGTCTCGACTGGCAGCGCAAATAGGCTCTGCGTGAGGGGAGGTCCCTTCCCTCCAGAGTCTAGGGCTTGGGATGTCCTGGACAAGGACCTTGAATCCCGGCCCAGGACCAACGTCCGACGAAGAAACCCCCAAGAAGCAACAAGTAAAAAGGAAGAATCTTCCTTATGTCTCTCAGCCTTAGCCTTTGATTAAGCTTTTAGTACGGGGCCCCTTAGGCCACGCGAACATCCATCAT